ACACCATATATAAAAATATTTTTATATAGATCATTGACCTGAAAGCAAAAATTAAAAGACCAAAACTAAAATTATAAAATTTCTAAAATAAAATGTAGGAGAATTTCTTCCAAACATTGATTTCTCAGAGAAAACTCAAGGAGCACTAACTACAAAAGAAATCTTTGATGAACTGGGCTTGAAGGTTTTGAATACAAATACAAAAATACAAATCAATATTAAGACTTCTGCAAATCCAAAGATGTTGGTAAAAAGTAAAAAGCAAGCCTCAAGGGTAGTAACAATTGTGATTCATGTACTCAATAAAGGACTGGTGTCCAGATAATATAATATTTCTACAAGTCAATAATAATAAGGCAAACAGGTCAGTTAAAAAAGGGGCACAAAATGTAAACAGGCACTTTGCTGGGAAGGTATTCATGTGACGAATAAACATTCAGAGAGCATGGCAACCTCCCAGGGGGGCCCTCGTTGGGCACACGGTGCGACTGCTATGCACCCACACATGGATGACAAGACAGGGACACGGATGACAAGACGTGGACACGGATGACAGGGACACGGATGACAAGACGGGGACATGGATGACAGGGACACGGATGACAAGACGTGGACACGGATGACAGGGACACGGATGACAAGACGTGGACACGGATGACAGGGACACGGATGACAGGACGGGGACAATGACGCTCTACCACTGGGGCAGTAAGATGGAAAACCAGCTTGAAAAAATGGCTGGCAGTTTCTAGTGAAGTTAGGTGCAGATCCAGCCGGCACCCAGGAGAGCCACGTGCTGGTGGCCACAGGGCCCTGCAGAGAAATGCCCCAGCAGCTCTGCTGTGACGGCGTCCCACAGTCCGTCCCGGGAAGGACGGCGTTAGGATGTGTCGGATAATGGAACAGGGACAGCAACTTAAAAAGAAACACAGAATGGTGCATGAAATAACAAGGACAGATTTCACAAACACGTCGAACAAACCAAGACAAAATCAAAGGAATTCCTACTAATGGTTCCCTTACTGCGGCGTTCACAAGCAGGCGGTTCTCCAGGGCCACTGTTGTGGGTCAGGGGGACGTGCGGCCCAGGTGGCCTGTGTGTGAGCCCCGTGAGGCACTCTGTGGTGTTTTTCTCCATCAGCGCAATCACGGAGATCCCATCAGATGGGAGCCCGTCCTGTATTTGCAACAAAGTCCTCTGCTCAGCTCAGGGCTCTTTCCCAAAGTTCTCCAGAGAGCAGGGAGAGACAGAGGCACAGTGGATGTTTCAGTGATGACTTTTTGGTCATTTTTCTCATAGTCACTTTTTTGAGGAAACGCTCATCTTCACAGGAGAAAGCACTCTGGTGTCTTTGCCCATGACACTGTCCTTGGAGAGAGGCCAGCAATCTAATCTTCTAAAACGTAATGCTAGAATACCATGGGTCTTGGTACCAGGAATAATAAAATGTGGACTATAATTTAAATAAAATTAGCATTTACACAAACATGACCACTGTTTGTTTTGATGGAAGTGTTAGAAACCGCATCTCAAGTAACTGTCTTACGCCAGAGGGTGAATCTCCGTTTCATAGAATATAATTCTAATTTAACAACTTCATATAAGGTCTGAATTTTACTGAATGATTTAGTATATGCCAGATCTATTTTCAAGTGAAAAGGATCCTAATTGCTAAATGCTATGGTACTGTTGTATGGGAAAGCCATTAACTTTGTTTTCTTCAATTTTTTCTTACATTTTTAGAGACCTTTCTTCCATGCAGTCTCTGAATGAAAACTGTTATTGCAAAAATGAAGCAATAGCAATTCTGAACACTCAGTGTGATCTTAATCACCCCGTGTGTGTGTCACATCCACAGAGGAGGTCTCAGTACAAACCGGTAACTTTTTTCTCAGAATTGGTAAGCGGACACACAAAGCACGGGGAATGATTGGTTACCGTAGAACTTACAAATGAACAAAATTAGAACTCCCTTAGGCACACATCCTAAAAAACGATAGAGCAGAGAGACAGAGCTGGAGAGAGATCCATCATGTTAGGTCATAGGCGTCACTTGGAAGAGGGACATGGGCTGTCAGAGAGGGCAGAGCTCAGCTCATGGGAACACTTCAAATGTAAGAGCCATTTTCTCTCACTGGACAGGCCCAAAGTCCAAAACAACACATCTGATTTCCTGCAGAGGGTGACACCCAGGGCGGGTGGGGAGGGGTGGGTGGGAGCCGCGAGAGCCTGTGACGGGGGCCCCTGCTCTGGGGGGCTCTGAGGTGGAACCGGACCGGACAACCACCTGCGTCCCGGTCGGCTGTGCGGGCACCTTGTCCTCAACTAGAAACGGAATTCAACCACACAGGTCGGCCCTCGGCACTTAGTACATGACAATGAATAACTAAATAAGTCCTATAACTCCTCAGCTCTGATTCCAGGCAAACTTTATGGTTTATTTTATTAATTCTTCTATGGGGAAGAATGTGTTGATTTACACTTGGAGATACTGTGGCTTGTTTGATGGTCCTATTGTAACTGTCACTTAACAAATCGTTATTTTGGTTTATAAGTTGTTTAGTAGCTTGGTTAAGACTTTTTATGGGAAAATGGTTCTCTCTAAGTGAGGGTTAAGACTGAGGTTGTGAGTGGCCCCTGAGTATTGGTGCAGTAGCCCACTGGCTCTCTCCCCCGGGGCTCAGGGGGTCTATGTGGATGACACCCAGACATCAACCAAAGAGGATCCGTGGTCACCCGCTTCCTCAACAGCTACTCGGAACTGAAGGAACAGATGACTCTGAGAAACTGGACATGATGTGGACTTTCAATCTTGTTTTCATTACGGAGAATTTAATAAAATGTAAATTTCACCAAATATAGATAGATAAAGCTTCAAATAGGCAAACAAAGTCAAAAGTTGGCATATTTTCAGAGGATATTGTTTACTAAATCATCAAACTAGAGATTAAATCCGTCTGCTAGATTGTTGCAGAAATCCTGAAATTTTATTTACATTGCCGCCCACCTTTTATTTTTCTGATCAAAGTAGGTAAAAAAAAAAGAGTTACTTAAATGAAGCTCAAATTTCTCTTATTTCACAATCGAGAAATAAATTGCATTTCAAGAAAACCTTTTCAAAAATGTGTGCTTTGTGTTTATGTAATTAATCTCCCGTAATCAATACCTGCAATTATTTGCATTAAAGAATCAAGCCTCAGACATGAGGCTGCTCTTCACTAAGGGATTCCAAACAGATGGCGGTCTCCAAAATGCCTGTGCATATGGCAGCTGCCCCATGCAGCGGGAGGCAAATCAGAGGGTGGGGACAAATATCTGGACACGGCACAGTGCCATCTCCAGAGCTCCCACAGAGGCTGCCCCCCGCCCCCAGGGCTGGATCACACGTAGGGATGTCACGTTGAAGGAACTGGCTTTGCGTGGAGAATAGCTTCTGTTTTCCTAGAAAAGTACATCCAGCTACTGATAGTTGGGGCTGGTCTGTTCGAAGTTTGCGGGCTTTGGGGGCTTTGTGGCCTTACCCTCCCTGAAACAGTTCTCAGCAAGACGGACAGAAAACAGTGTGGCAAAACCAGAGCAGACCACACACAAAGGGTTGAACACAATGCCTCTCCAATGTTCAAAGTATTCAGGCTATTTCTGATGTTTTAAATTCTTTAAAATCACCCCACAACTGCACTGCCAACTTCAGGAGGGCAGACACTGATGTAGAATCCTATCTGAGATTTCACCTTCAAACTCAGATTAACAATTCAAGGATTTAGGATTGACTAATCTAGTCTAAAAACCTGGACACAAAAGTGGGGTTCACAGAAATTTCAATCATCAAAAACAAAACATAAGAAGTGAAAATATCCCATGATATTTGAGGGATTTTATGTCTCATTTATATTTACTCAATTAAAAAAAAAACCCATCTTTTCAAACGTTATTCAGGTTTTGGCCATGTGACCACAGTTCAGGTGTCCTGTACAGTGCCTTAGGCATAGAAATTTCAATAAATATATCTCCAAAAATAAAATTGTAGGGGTGCCTGGGTGGCTCAGTCTAAGTGACCAACTTGATCTCAGCTCAGGTCTTGATCTCAGGGTTGTGAGTTCAAGCCCCACGTTGAAAAAAAGTAGAAAAGAGCAAAAAAATTACACAGAAAATAGTAAAAATTGTGTTTGTCAAATGTCAGGGTAAGCTTCCTCTTTTGGATAGGAGCCTGTAAGACTCGCAGGAGGTTTGTAGGGATCCTGGGAATCTACTTCAAACAGAGGCCTGGTTGATATTTCATTAATAGTTGGTGATTATTTTTCATTTGTTGGAGTTTGTAATAAGTAAACAGCATCCTTATTTATTTGAAATGCACGGAGTGGTCGCAGGAGGGCTAATCCCTCTGTCTTATTGATCCCCCAATCACAATAAAGTCATTCATAAAAACACCACAGAAGGTGAAAACCAAGCAACCCAGCGCAGTGGGAGACCCACACAGGGCTTGAGCGGAGCAGTGGTAAACGGGGAGCAGGAGGGGCCGGGAAGGAGATCGGGGATGCCCACAGAAGGGGAGGGGGTGTCGGATGTGTGGGGTGGTGGCCGCCCCTCCTGGTCTCTCTCTTGCTATTTCTGGGGGGCCCCGGGGTGGGGGCCCAGCACTCAGAAGTGGGAGCTGCTGATGTTCACCTCCCGCTGGGCACAAAGTGGGCAGAGCAGCGCCCACTGCGTGTCCCTCGGGAGCCAGTCTTGGGCAGGTCAGTGCCCGGACCCTCTGGGGCAGTGAGCTGGCTCCTGTGTCCGCACTGGGGACAGAAGCTCCTGGTTGCGTGCTGGGAGGGTAGGATGCCGCATGCGCTGCCCGGCCTGGCAGCGGGAGCCTGAAGGTGCCCGATGGGGCTGACAGAAGCGGCGGCTGGCATGGAGCTAATGTCCTGTCCTTGCCTTACTTGTGCTCTCCATTGGGGGTCACCCACCCCACGGCATGCGCCCCGGGGCTGGAAAGGGTGCCGGCAGCACTTACCCACAAATAGCTGGCTGTTGAGCTGCAGGCGCACGTGCCCATCCTCAGGGGCTGCATGTGTCCTGGGCGGGAGCAGGTCCACCTGCAGCCAGGCCTCCTTTGCGTTCCTTTCAGCCCGGACGAGGTGCCACCGGTCGTCATTGAGGGGGGCGGGTGCCTGCACTGTGACCTCGCAGGGCCCGTTCCCCACATCGAAGGAAAAGGCCACTTCCACTGGGGCTGGAAACATGACACATGGGATGGTTGGCGCCGTTTCCCAGATGGCCCTCGGGGACACAGGGAAGCAGGGCCCCTGCTGACCCAGACGGAAGAGTATCTTTCCAGGTAGACTAGAGGGCAAAGGTAGATTGTACTTGGGAAAATAATGATTTTTAAAAATTAGGTTCAGAATGTGCTAATTCACTTTGATTTGTACTGGACTGAAACCATAATTACATGTGTAGAAAAACTATAAAACATCTGGATTTTGTGTAGAACTTGGTCCAGACCTTCACCCATTTTATAATGTGAGCAAGCTGTGGGTTCGGTGGTCTGTTGCAGGCTATTTGGGGTTCCAGTGAGCACTTTGTGGAGGAACTAGCTGAACTCAAACCCTGTCCACACCCAGACGAAGTGTTCTCAAAATGAACCCTGCGTGGACAGGTACTTCCCGAGGGCTGTCAGGTGTACCATCAGGCTCCTGCTGCGCGGGGTTCACAGAACTGCAGGACTGGACTGAATCTCAGGCTGGAGCTAATGGATGGAGGGACGAGGAGCATCCCGGGCTCCTTGACCAGCGATAAGGACCCCACGGAGTTTTCTGGAAACTTACAACGTAGCTCCAGGCTGATGAAGTCTGTGATCCCCAGGTTCTCTAAGAACACCCCGGATGAAGCTCTCGTCTTGAAAAAGAAGGACACGTCGGCGCTGAGCTCTGCATGTAAAGTGGGGAAGTGAAGGTATGAAGTTTCTGTGTGGAAGGAAGCGGAGTTCCAGAAGGATCCTAGGAGACAGGAGGGAAGGGTCACACAGAGCAGCCGTGTTTGGTGTCCTGACTGCGGGTCTCCTGAGTATGCCCACAGGACGCCTGAGCGAGAGCTCAGTGGGAGCGGGGTCCGTGAAGATGCTCCCCTCACGGTGCAGGAAAGAGCGTCTTGCACACCATGTCCATCTCCACACCACCCACGAGGGAAGTCTCCTCTGCATCCAGGCGAGTCACTCAGATAACGTCCTCCACACTTTATTATCAAACCTTACCTGCTCATCATTTGGAATGTTAAGCATGTATGTAACTGAATTAAAAAAAAAAAACAACCCTGCAGAAATCCAAAGAGTTGCCCATCGTAACCCCGCGGACCCAGATGGTCGAAGGGCCCCAGCCTGGCCTGGCTCCTTCCCCAGGGCCCGCACTCCCACCCCGACGGGGACCGCGAGGGGGACACCCCTCCACCAAGCCTGGAGGTGGTCTTCCCGACACGCACTTTCACCTGAGCCCTGATAAGGTGGGTAGAAATTCACCACCCACAATGGTTTCTGCCACAGCGATCTCCTGTTGCTCAAAGTCAACGAAAAATAAATAGCCTAAAACCTCTCAGAGACAAAAAGCACCTTCCCAAGGTTTAGCACTTGGACAGAAATGAACTTTGAAAGACACATGATCCTGTGACTTGGTGTGACTTGGGGCCCCCCACTGGTTGGGCTTCTCTTTGCACTTTTCTTCTGAGTTTACATGTCCCAGCCTCCCTTTTGGCTGGGGCTGCCTCCTGTTGGACCTGAGGTTGGGCATGGTGTGCAGCCTGGGCTGGTGATGACCCTGAGTCCTGGCTCTGAGGCCACATACCTGACAGCACTCACGTCTAAATTGCTTTTCCTGGAGAATGAGTTCATGCACAGGGTCAGAAAACAGCCACCCAGAACACCTCTCACCCCGTGTCTGGAGGACAGAGGCAGTCCCTGCTGGCCTCTGCACCGTGTGTATCCATCTGGCATCACTTCCTGCCAAGCTGGTCTGCTATGCAGCTTTCTGTCTGGGGGTGCAGGGCAAATCAAGGAGTCAGTTCTCAGGTTTTCCTGGGACTCACATGGAGCCAATAGCCCATTTTGCTGGCTTTTCTGTGGAGACACATTTTGGAGATGTTTTATTTTTCTTTAGAGCATAATTAGCTGAGGTGAGGTTTCCTCTGTACAGTTCTTCTCAGGGCCAGGCCCCGGTCTGCTCTATGATGGAGATGCTGGGTGACTGTTGGTCACAGGAGTCCCTGCAGCCACACGTGGCAGGACCACACTGCTCTTCCAGTTGAACTGTTAAAGAAAACTGACTTGGGACGGCACCAAAGAGAAAAGAAGGACTTCTCCCAAACACAGGCTGACTGGTCATCAGGAATGTTTGGCCTTAAAATCCCAAATTAGAGAAAACAGTTTTAAAGGGTTGTCTTTTGAATCAGTATTCAAAGGGGCACCTGTACCCCAATGTTTATAGCAGCACTATCAACTATAGTCAAATTATGGAAAGAGCCCAGATGTCCATCGACAGATGAATGGATAAAGAAGACGTGGTTCATATACACAATGGAATACAGCCTTCAAAAAAATGACATCTTGCCATTTGCAACGACACGGATGGAACTGGAGGGTATTATGCTGAGCGAAGTAAGTCAGTCAGAGAAAGAAAAATACCACATGATTTCACTCATGTGGAATTTAAGGAACGAAACAGATAAACATAGGGGAATAAAAAAGAGAGAAGTAAACTACAAAACAGACTCTTAACGATAGAGAACAAACAGGGTTGCTGGAGGGAGGTGGGTGGGGGATGGGCTAGATGGGGGATGGGCATTAAGGAGGCACTTGTGATGAGCACTGGGTGTTGTGTGTAAGTAATGAATCACCAAATTCTACACCTGAAATAAAAAAAAGTGTATCTTTCATTTCATTTCAATTTTATAAGTAGATCGAAGAGAAGCTTGGGGGACTGGTTTAATCTAGTAGATTAGAATCTGTTTCCCCTGGGCAACACATTTCCACAATGACCAGGTTCGAGGAGAGCACCTCTCACCTTCTGCATGGCTGAAAGCTTCGAACTAATATTGACACTATTTGGTCACCGCACCCTTACTGGTGGAACTGGACGAGGTGACCCACTGCCTGTGGCCTGCACCCTCAGGGGCCAGGGTCCTCTGTTCCTTGGGTCTTCCTGTACAGAGATCGGGTCCAGGAACTCATGGGCAGGAGCCATGAGTTGTGTGGGAGCAGACCTGTGCATGCCCTGCTCTGGGGGTTTGATGGGAAGGACAGTCATCCACCCAGGAAAGAGTCATATTATCAAGTGAACCTTACAGGTAGGGATTGGATAACAGGTTTGCTTGAGGGCAACCTTTATCTCATGTATATAACTGATATAACTGCACGTGTGCAAGTGCACCTGTGTGATACCGAATGGTTGCAGGTGCACCTGTGTGATACCGAATGGTTACAGGTGCACCTGTGTGATCCAGAATGGTTACAGGTGCACCTGTGTGATCCAGAGTGGTTACAGGTGCACCTGTGTGATCCAGAGTGGTTACAGGTGCACCTGTGTGATCCAGAATGGTTACAGAATCCAGATTGTTACTTACATAAGAAAGAGATGTAGTATTATGTATATTTTTAATATATATACAATGTAACATATATATTATATAGGTAATGTTACTATGTATACAATATAATACTTGGGATGCATATTATCCACAGTGCAGCTATATTGATAGTGTGTACGTCTTCTGTACATATGTGTGAGAAAGATGGATGCATAGACAGACACTGTCTATTCAGGGGAATTAACTTTGTTAGCCCGATTGGATTAAGGGTGATTTCATAAATAGTTTCTTTTCTAAGCTTTTATTTGACCCACTAATAAGTTATCCCAATAATTAATTATTATTCATAAAGGCACACTGCTTTATAAAACAAAGATGTTTACTTTAAAAATCAGAGGTATATGAAAATAAAAATTCTGCTTCTTAAAACTGGAAGTATAAATTATGAAATTGTTAAGATGAGAACTATTTTTCTAGTCAAATCCATCTTTCTGACTGTTTAAGAGACTTTAAGAGACACAGCTTCTTAAAGAGAAAACACTAAGGATTATAGCTTCGGCTTTGGGAACATAAACACTGGTGCATCGATTCATACTTCAAAATTCCTCTTGAAATTTGTAATGTTTTTGAAAAGAACAATTGGGATCAAAAAATAAGGAAAACAAAAATGAAAATAATGAAATATGTGGCTGGTTATAATGACAGTTTTGGTTCGTAGGCCAGCTGGAAGAGAACGAAGCTCTTCAGACACGTCTGCACAGGAATCCTGCTGCCCCGTGTCGGGGGAGGCACATGCAGACAAAATTCACAGAACTCACAGAAAGTGAGAATTATTCCTACAGTTATTCACATGACAAGCAGACTTAGAAGCCACCTCAGTCTTCAATGCCTGTGTTCCCTTCTGGATTTGTGGTGACCTCTCCTAATATTGGCGCTACTACAAAGGTTACTGGTATTCCAAAGACGTGACAGGTACTTTTACTAATCTAGAGCTCAGGAACACGTTTAGTCTAGCAGCCAGCTGGAGCCAACAGGTCCAAAGGAGGTAGAAAGAAGTGACCTTGGACCCAAAGATTTACCAGCCCTCCCACTTTAGTTTAGGTGCAAGATAAACGTAAAGTAAAGCACTGTGATGCTCCCAGTTTTCTGTGTGCACCCCACCATCTGCCATGAATTCTTTTTTTTTTTTAAGATTTTATTTATTTATTTGACAGAGAGATAGAGAGAGAGCACAAGTAGGCAGAGTGGCAGGCAGAGGGAGAGGGAGAAGCAGGCTCCCCGCTGAGAGGGAGCTGGACATGGGGTTCCATCCCAGGACCCCAGGATCATGACCTGAGCTGAAGGCAGCTGCTTAACCGACTGAGCCACCCAGGCGCCCCCCGCCATGAATTCTTGCACATCTGGGACGGAAGCTGCTGTAGCCACATGGGGCTGGGGCATGGGAGGTCTGACAGCCACTCCCACCTTCCCGTGCGGTCTGCTTCTTCCCTGCACATTTCCTAATCTCTGGGTTTCCTCCTCTCGGGCACTGTCTGCCCAAAATTGCCAGGCTGCCCCTCATCCCCTGACCTCTGCAGGGCTCTGTCTTTGACCTCTTTTCTTCTCTCTGGACATGAACCATCCAGGGGACTTGTCCTTGGACGACTTCCAGGGGACTTGTCCTTGGACGACTTCCATGGGCAGCAAGCAGGCTCTCCAGGGACACCGTGGGAGCAGGGTCAAGGCCCTCCCTCTCCCCTGTCTGTGTTCACCCCGCAGACATCGGGACCAGCCTGTTGAGACCTGCAGGCCTCATGCCACCAGGCCACAACAACCCATTTCATTAATGGCAGCTCCATCCTCTGCTGTCTGGACCAAACCCTCAGTGTTATCTTGAATTTGCTCACAGCTCACATCAATCTGTCTCTACCTTCAAGCAAACTCCCAGTGTGGCTCACCACTTGTAGTGGCCTGGCCACCCAGGTCCCTCCTACTAGCCGGGACCCCAGGCCAGCAACCATCCACCGGCTCCGCTCAGGAGGCTCTTCCCCACACCCATGCGTGTCCCCCAGTCCTGCCGGTCTTCCTCGGATGGTCCCCGGTCCTGCCGGTCTTCCTCGATGGTCCCCGGTCCTGCCGGTCTTCCTCGGATGGTCTTTGCCAGTGAAGCCTCCTGAACCCCCACACGGTGTCCTGTCTTCTCCCCGCTGTGGGCCTGCACCATCCTGCGTGTGTGCATCGACTTGTCTTCTCTGCCCCAGGAAGACAGTGACAGCCTTCTGTCTTGCATCCTGATGCACCATTGGACACAATCCATAGTTATCTGACTAAATGTCTGGATAATATTTCCTCTTTTCTTTAGCCCGTGAGCAGGTTGGATACTTCTTTCGTTTTGGTTTCATGTGTCTTCCCATAATTCTGCTCCTGTTATTTGTGGAACAAATGGGAGGGGGGAAGGAAGACGGAGGAGGTGGAGGGAGAGGTGGGGCAGCCAGGGAAAGGAAAGCAAGGCAATCAGCTGCTGTAAACACTTAAAAATGGTGGACGTGCCCAGACCCTGGGTGGGACCGGCACTGTGGAGGCCCGTAAAGGCTGTTGTCCAGGATCTTTGAAAATGGGATCAATCCGCCTGCATCTGACATGGTTTTGATGTAGCAATGCCAAAAGGAGGAGAAATTAATGAACTTATCTCTTGTTCTGTGAGCCTGTCCCCTGCCATGGGTTGTTTCTTGCTGTGCACTCCTTAAATATTAACGTGCCCTGCGCAGCTTCGAGCCCCAGACAACTGTTCCAGCCGCTGCAGACAAATTAGGGAGCCAATCTCAGGGGCTCAGTAATGACTTTTCAGACCACATGATGCTGAGAAAAAAGTTTCCTAACTGCATGTCTTTGGTGGGAGCACCAAGTCAGATGCTCAGATTACATTTAAAATTTTAATGGAATAAATTATCTGAAAAAATAATTGAATAAAATGGGTTGCAGAGTGAAAATGTCAAAGATTTTAAAATGAATATGCAGTTCAGGTCGTCAAAAAACGAAGACCACCTCTTTTCCCATAAGTAAAGTGTTTGCATAGGGATTTTGAGTAAAGATGGTGGGATGGAGTTGGGGCACAGAACATATTTCTCCCCAAACCTGATGAAATCAAGAATAATGAACAAAAAACACCACCAACAACACACACAACAGCTCTCAAAAGTCTGTTCCGAAGCCCCGAGCCCCCGACTTGACTTCTGCCTGACGTCCAGCAGCTGTCCCCCATGGGCTCAAACAACGATGACCATCTTCCTTGCCTGCACCCAGACTAAAACCCTAACTGTGAAACAGAATGACTAGAAGAAATTCCCAATTGTCTCATGATAATCCTGAACTGTGAGATCTCTGGAACCCTCTCTGGGGGCACTTGGCCGCTCTGAGAGGACAGGCTCTGAAGCTTCCTGGCCTCAGGCCAGTCGCCGCGTCCCATAGTGATGGTTTATATCAAGGACGGAGTAAGAGCAACATAGCATTGACCCCTTTCCCAGTTTACAAGGGGACATAATTCCTCCTTCATCGGCACCTGATGGAGCGCAGTGCTGTTCAACACGCTGCAGCCCCCTTGCCATCATGCTGACCAGCCGCTCCCAGGAAAGAGGCCCTTAGGGCATTACTTACGGTCCCCTTGGCACAGCAGAGGCCCCAGTTTGTAGGCTACAGCAGAGCTCGGGCGGGCTGCATCTGCGACCACGATGCGTGTCACGGGCAGGTGCTCCTTATAGGACAGCACACCTGTGTCGTTGGTCCTGGGGGAGAAAACACCCACTAATGCCGTGTGGGGCCAGCAGAATGAGCTCACCTGCCAAACACTCCACGCACAACACTTTTACGGGTCCTTTCCAAACACAGCATCCACACCACTGACCTCAGAGAAGGCAGGTGGCAGATTCAAAAGGGTCTTCTGGGCACACCTGAGGTCACATTCCAACCTCACTAAGCAGACTGTTCTTCTAAATATAGGACCAGCACAGGACTCGCATGAAGTTTGTATACATTCATGCAGTCTTAGGTGTCCTGTGGGTAAGTCACTGCTTTGGTCGTGTTACGTATTAGCAATACACAATATTCTATATAACATATAAATATAAATAATTTTTTGCTCAGAACTTTATTGTCATTATTATTACTTTTTAAAAAGTACCTTGTTTTCATCTTGTCCCTCCTTATTGATTTTATAATTTAAAAAACTTATTTGAAACCAACTTGGGTATAAAATTTGGTGCAATGTGGGCAGGTGCTTGGGAAATGTGCCCTTTGCTCATGCCCTGCCCAGGAACAGGGGGCAGGTGTAGTCCCTGCCCTCCATCCAGGGGACACGGCTGTCATCACGCTCTGCGAAAGTCGGTGTCTAGTGGAGACACAGCAACATCTCCAGGGACCGTGTGAGGTGAGCAGTGGGCTGGCCAGTCCCTATTTCTCCAGCACCAGATGGTTGTTCTAATTCTCTGCAATATCCTCCTGTTTTTATGAGGGGCTTCAATTTTGTGTGGATTTCTGACTTATAGACAGTGGAGACTCTGAATCTGCAGGGGCCCGGCAAGCAGTATCGACCGTCCTCGGCACATCTGCCCATCCTGCCCCCACAGACTGGGAAGGAAGAGCCAAGTCACCTCTGTCACTGAGTCCTTTTTCTGGGCAGTTAGAAGTTCCCTTAGTTAACATAAAACAAGATATCAAAGGTCAAACATGAAGCATTATTTTTAGACCAAGCTAAAATAGAGATTGTTATTTGAATTTTTCTTCCTGAGTTGAAAGCAGTCTTGTAGCTGTATTTAGTGCATATATTGAGATATGAAAACATAAATATTAAAATCTGAACAGTAAGACATATTCTATTGAAGGAATTGGATCATTTGCCAAATTTAGCCTTGACAATCCTCTGCTTCACCTAGTTAAGCTTCTATTTCTTTATGCTAACAAAGAAGATAGAACATGGATTTTCCAAATCCACTGATGCTTGACGTTGGGATAAACGGGGTAGACAGGAGGGTGGTGTGGCTTTTGGCCACGTGGTAAGTCGGCCAAACCAAGCGCATCTTCTGCCGTCAATCTTGCAGACACACAAACATGTCCTGCGGAGAAGGGCACGCCAGGGGGATGGAGCTGTAGTTACTCACTATGGATCTGTGCATTTTTAAAGAACTGCTTTGCAGAAACCAGTCCTTTTCATTGAGGTTATAACAGTGATATTTTTAGAGGACTAGGAACACTGAAGACTTATCTTAGTGCATCACACGTGTGCTGGGGAAGATAATGAAACACATCTCTCCTCTGTGTTGGTTTGAAAACAATGTTTTTGCTGAGCTGATGGAAAGAATTGTCTTTACAATGTTGTGTAACTACGTAGGGTTTCCAAGTTCCCATTTTACTCAGGTAATTATTGATTTGCCAGGTGGATTTATTCAAAACTGCCTAGTTAATAAGTGCTCATGATTTCTCTGTGTTCTCTGTTTTCCTCGAAGGGCCCACTGCAAGTAGACTTACAAATAGCGCATTTGTCATGTGTTCTCACCCGCCTTGAGAGTCCAAAACGAGCAACTCCTAAAACTACGGAAATAATACTTATGACTTTCCAAGGAAGCGTACTGTTTTGTTTTGTGAGGACTTTGGGGGGTGCCAAGTGTGACTCAGGCTAGTTTCAGAGGCTGGGAAGGAAGGGGGGAAGCTGGCCAACTCCAACATTTGGTAATGATTCCAATCGACCATGAGATCATTCAGAACAGCTTTTATGACCAAATTTGGAGACTGTTCCAAATAAGTGGAGTGATTTTGACCTTTTTATAAGAAATTTTACTTATATAAAAATATCACTAATAACTTTCTTGGTTAATTAAATGTTTTATTGTATTGGTGATATCTCAGACATTCAGAGTGGCTGAAACAATCATAGAATAAACACCAGTGTATGCATCTAAGTTTGATAACTGAACTATTACCAGTGGAGACAAAGAAACAAAATTGTAGTTAATTATAGTTGAAATGGCTATGTGTGCAGAAAATCCAAAAGAATCTACAGACTGTCCATTAAAGTTCAAAACAGGAGTCTAGCAGGGCCACAGGACCCAAGGCCAAGGGCGCAGAAGCTGATTGCATTGCACACTGCAACACAGAAGGAAAATGGAATATAAGATGATACTACTCACATGAGCATCAAAGATATAAAGTCTGTAGGAAATAAACTAGTGAAAGTCCTGCAGGCCTGGATGCCGAATATGATAGACACATTTGTGAGAACAGTTAGGGGGCTGGTTCACTGGGCATGATGGGGACGCCAGTGCCCCTGAAGTCACCCGCGGCGTGGGCCCTGCCCCCGTCAGGGCGGTAAAGTGTCATCTGTACCAGAAGCAGCCGCAGTCATGTGAATGGAAACCCCCAGCACATCCTCTGAAGAAAGACAGAAGATGAATGATCGACCCACGGACAACCTGCCATCTGCAAAGCTGGAAGTAACTGGAGATCTGGGAAAGAAGTGGCGGGTGAATGGCATTTTGCGTGATCCGTGCTGTACCATGTTAGCACTGATTTCTGGCAAGATGGAAATGCTACAGAGGGAGGTTGCAGGAAAGAGAGGGGAGGCTGAGTAGGTTTCCTGGTGATCATGTGGGCAATAGGTAAGCACCAAAGGGAATTAAAAAAAACCCCTACAAACTAGAGAGTAATGGGTTAAATAAGGAAACTATAGGATAACAATCTTTTTAAAAGAACTGACTATGCACGTAATTACAAGAACAAAAAAGCAAACCTCCCTAACTACTGAAGAAATAATTTTGTAGAAGATCAAAGAAATATGCATCTTGTAAAAAAGAAACACAGCAAATATAACAATTTACATTAATAACTATAACATAAAATAATATGATAGATTTGAACCCAAACATATGAGTTTTATCAACGAATATGAGTGGGTTTAATTGAACTTTTACAACACAGAAGATTTCAGATTTGGCAGCCAAACTAAGACACAACGGTACAGGTAAACCAGAGACACACCTGCACAAAATGACTCAGAAAGGCTGAAAAGGAGAGTGGCCCAACTGCCATTTGGATGACAAGCAAGTCAGGGGCGATCCTGGTGTCATCGTACAGCTCAGGCTCAAGCCTGGGAAAGACAAAGGGGGCATCACAGAGTCTGAAGCCTGAAAGTGCAAGGCAGGCAGAGCCCTTCTAAATGCTTCTACTCCAAGATATCAGACCAACCACCTTTTGGAGAAAAATCTACACAAAATGCAAGGAGTCAGGCATAGAAACTCACCAATAATATGATAACTTAACACAAAAAGGACGGAAATGAGTGGGGATGTACAAGACCTGAATAACATAATCAGTGGGGGTAAATCTTATGGGTAATATACCAAAAGCTACACCCAATAAAAAGAAATGCAGCTTAGGCTGGTTCAACATCCACAAATCAATCAACGTGATACAATACATTAACAAAAGAAAGAACAAGAATCATATGATCCTCTCAATAGATGCAGAAAAAGCATTTGACAAAGT